CCCCCCCCCCCCCCCCCCCCAAGTATGGTCTGGGTGGGTTGCTGCTGGGGGCGGCCAGGCGTCACAAGGCGTCACAGACAGGGCCGGGATCTTACACAAGCCACTCTGTCCAGTGAGCATCATTTTCGGAAGGGCCTTGTGTCGTCATTTGTTATATTTCCTGGCCGTTTGCCTGCATTGGTCTCCTAGCCACAAACCCTGCAACATAGAGCGTCCTAATTTTGTTTACCTTAAGCTGTACTGTAAACCCTGCACCCAACCCTGAACCCCGCCTAAATGCAGGCTCTAAGCCTAAAGCAGAGCATAAACCGCCAAGCCTAACCAACCCCAAACCCTCGCTAATCCCTCGTCGACTCGAAGCCTTACACCTTTTAACCCTAAACCCTAAACCATAGACCCCAAAAACCAAAAGCTTAAGCTAAATCCTAAACTTCAAAACTCCACAACCACCCCACAGGGGGAAGAGACCTTCCAACATATTCCAGCATCAAGCTGCGAAAGCGAATTTGATGAGAGGAGGTGTCCAGCCTTTTCTTGCTTACAACAGCAAGAAGGCAGCTGTTGTTCACACAGTCTTACCCGTTAAGCTTCTGGTCTTGAAGACTTGCAGGGAGTATTGTATGTGAGATACTATATGACTATATGCTATAGAAGTTCTAAGTTGTTCATTATGTATTGAATATTGTCTATCGTAGATCACGTATTATACATCATGTATTGCATAGTACTTAATTTAATGCAGTTTGGGTATGACGCATATATGATAATAGAATACATAGTATATGTTGCATATGACGCAGCTATAGTTCTATATGCTGTATCAGCATGGAATTATTGCGAAAGATGCAGGCCTGGTTGGTCTTGGCGACGGTGACTTCTGGCACAGCCTCCGCCTTTGGCGCTGGAACCTCCCGTGCCTTCAGAAGACCTAGGTACACAAGGAAACAAACAGGCTGCCGCGATGCAATGCTTTCTTACAGGTTCTTCAAGTTTGCAATTCCGACGGCTGTTTGCCTCTCGCTTCCGCATGGACGGTGTGACGACAAAGCCTCAAAGCCGTGCAGACACTTCGCGTTGGCCCTTCAGCTTGTGCAGGCCAAGGCACCCATGATCATGAAGGCAAGCCTGACAAGGCGCAGGCTCTCACCCAGGTCTCTTCCTGTCTGAGACCCCTTGCTCCAAGGAGCCCGTTGCCAAGAATTCCAGCAATCATCACCTGCCGTGCAAGGCGGCAGGATTTTCAGAAGCCAAACATTTTCAAGAAGCTCTGGCCTCGGACCATGGTCTTTCTGGCAGGTACTCCAAGCCGAGGTAGATGGACAGGAACATCAGTGCGATCTGACAATCCGTCTCATCACTCTTAAGCTCCTTTAGCTCCTGTTTTGCAAGGACGGCGCTTTTTCTTTGCGCTGCCTTGTTGAAGTTGCCGGCCATGGAAATCACATGGGACTGAAACTTTGAACTCAAGGTATACAACATAACCTCAGTCCCAAACCCAAAAAACATGGGTGCCTTCGGCGCTATCCCATGTCGCATGTTCCCGACCGATGCTCCGATGCTCGCACAAGTAGCATTGTACAGTGTGGCGAAGACGCCAGAAAGCACACCTGAGCTGCCGCAAGATCAGCAACCTTCGCCGCAGAATCAGCCACCCTTTGCCAAAATGTCTTCTGCAGCTGACCGATACTGGTTTCGAGGAGGGATGGCCACATATTCTGGAGGGCAGCTGAGACACCAAGACCGATGCCCAACTTGCTGGTCTGCCAGACCTGCTGCAGAACCTCAGGGCAGCTGGAACCGATGGTGTCAAGGGAAACTGAGGCACATGTGGCTTTGAAATCCGGAACTCCCAACACTCCTGAAACAAGGGATTCTTTTTGTCGAGATCTTTTGGATCTCAAACCCTGTACTCTCATCGAGAGTATTATACAGTAAGCAGTCAACTCTGGCCGTGCTTTTTTTATGTATTTTCCCGTTTCGGCCGTTCCAGAGGCCGGAAGGCCGAGTACTTATCAGTAACCCAGGCCTGCCAATCGGTCATAGGAGACGAACCCGGCCAGGAGACCTCTGCAGCACGCACTTCTGCGTGCCCGCATGCGCGTGCACATGCTCGCTTCTATGTCTACCTCGACAGGTGCATGGGAATAACGACAGGAAAAAGATAGATGGTGCGTGGCAGATTGAGATTTAAAATGGACATGATTATACAAGATACCGCGAGCTATGGAAATGCAGGACGTTTACATATAAAACATGGATCGGTAAGTCACCGAGCGAGTAAAGCATTCTCGCCAGGGCACTGAGTGTCGGAAGAAGAAAACCGGCAGCAGAAGTAGCAGGGATGCCGGCAAGGACATGTTCAGAATGGCCTGGAGGAAACGGAAATGACTTTCCCGCTGGAAATGCACCGGCAACATCCAGCGTTTGCCTCCAAAGCGTTCATCTTCAACTGAGTACTAAGGGTCCTGCACGCAGGGGAGCCAGGTGAGGCAAAGGCGGCAAAAGAAGGCCACTTGCCGCCACGTAAAAAGGCACCTCACAACGATGAGCTCGATGCCCGAAGCGATCATTGACAGGCAACACACCTTGGTCACAAACGTAGGGTCAACAGAGAAGAAGCAACTTCCAAGTCACCAGATTAGACCGGGTGGCCCCGATGCCAACGTAGTAGGTCCAAGCCGAGCCCGACGAAGAGAAGCTGGTGAGCTTGCTGCAAACCTAAGCTTGAATCCCGTTTCAATTCACTCACAGTAAACCAACCGGAAACTTTACAATTTACAAGTATGTGCATACATTTCCTGGGCGAAGAAAGACATCACAGCTGCATCGAGCACTGCTCAAGCACGTGTCCGAAGATGAGCGACAGAAGCGCGAGGAGAAGGGGACATCAAGTCGGCAAACAGGATCTGCATCCAAGGCTCTACAAGGCCTGCGAAGAAGGTACCCAGCAGAGTCAGCAGCAAGTCCCGGCCGCTTACTTGAGGCCACTTCGCCTTCAGGGCTGCGGGGGAGTGAAGCCGATAACAAGCTTTGCCTTTGAGTCGCAGCTGTGTTTTCCGGTGCCGCATGCATGGGTACACATGAAAATCTACACACTCAGACAAAGCGAACCAAGCAGCAGCAACAAATGCATGAATCAACCCATGCTTTCTCTTTGGAAGCTGTGCCAGAGTATGCTCAGCTTGCTGATGCTATCCCACATCATGCCTCCTCGCCGGTGATGTTGGTCAAGACAGGCTGCGCCACAAACTCGATGGCAAGGTTCACTAAGGCACCCGCGGTGCGAATGATGAGGTGGACAGAAATGTCCTTACGATTCTGTTTGGCAAGATGCCCTTGGCATGACCATTGTCGTCAGTGTCGAAAATCTGGTTTTCCGAGCCCATCACCCTGCATCGCAAACCGCTCATGCAATCCGAACACTCCGCACACCCCTTCAGCAATCTGGAATGCCAAAGCCGAGCAGCCAGAATAGACAAGCTCAGGTTGTTGAGGCCTCATCGAAACGCTGGCTCCGCAAGCTTGTCTGACAAACCAAGCAGTGTGCAATTTTACTTCTCTTGGTTTCCTGTAGAATCACTGCGGCGGTCCTCTGCCTTCCTGTTCCTCTGGTGGCTTAGTCAGGTATGGTTAGGTGCCTGGGAAAGCAGTCCACCCTAAAGCACATCTAGCCAACTGCTCGCAACACCGCGCCCCACAACTCCCACCCCAAGTCTTAGGTGTCCGAAGATAAACAGGAACAACCCTTAACCCAATCGCACTCATCCATCAGAGTACCACACAGCAAAACAAGCAAAGCAGTACTCATAGCATGTGGATTTGGACTTGGCATTACTTAAACCTTCGCGATGCTCGATGACTTTTCACAGGCAGGCGTTGCAACTAGACCTTTGTGCCCCACTCACAGACGTATTGGCTACGTCCTTCGTCCAAACACCTGCATGCTCGTGTAGCTCGGCGCGATTTCTGTTCTCGCAACGAACGGCTGAAAACAGCCCCAGAATCCGAAACTACAAGGATGCATCTATTGTAATGAAACTACCCCTAACAATGCCTTTGACCCTCAACCTTAGGCCAATATCTGCGAGAACATCCGCGCTTGTTACATATATAGCTGAACGGGATTGCTCCGAATCCTTCTGGGATTGCGTCTATGTCAGGATGTTCGGAGTGTTGGGGTTGAGATCCTTCGTTCGTTGTTTTGGGTGGATTGCTGGGGTTGAGATGCTGGCGTGCTGGGGCTGCTAGGGTGGGCGCTGGCTGGTGCCACAACCCGGTTCCAAACAAGGATCCAACAAAAACCGAACGTCCACAAGCTAAGCAAATACAGAACGCACGATGAGGCATCTGTCACTGCTGCAGCCGGTGCAACTTTACAACCTGTAATCCCTCTCAAGCAACAGCTCACGAGTCTGTTCGATCAAGGTGCCAATGTTGCAAACAAATGCCACCGCCAACAAAAGCACGCAGCCGACCTGCACAAGTGAAGCAAGCTCAATTGCACCTTCCGTTTCTTTCACCTGCGACCTTGTGGCTTTTATCTTCCTGCTGCTCGAACGGCTTCCAAAAGCTGGCAGGCTTATGATTTCTGACATCACACACTTCTCACTTTTCCTTTGCGCCCTGCCCACCACCCGTTTAGTTTGATAGTCCTTTCATTCGATCTTGGCCAATGGCTTTCAAGTAATCACAGCTTGCCTTCTCCGTTAAGGGTTGGCCATTCCTTTCTTTCAACGTGGTCCACTCCCTTTAGGGTCAGCCGTTCCTTTCGTTGCCCGAAGGGCCTGTTCCTGTTACGGCTGGCCGTTGGCCTTGAGGTTCACGGGTGGCCCAATTCTGCTACCGTGGGCTATTCCTCTTCGGGCTTCATGTTCTCTCACGCGGTTCTTGGCCGGATGCGAAATCAACGGAACTCTAAAAGAAGTCTCGGCAATGCGTTCAGCCGACGAACAGCAAAACTCAACTACATGGTTGTTGGGGCGTTGGCACCCCTACAGTTTTAGGACTTTAAGAGCCCGAAAGCATTGATGCATGTAGGCTTAAACAGAGGCTTCGGAGAAAACAAACAGTTTGGCATTACCAAGCTTTGACTGTTTCGACTTCTTCTTCTTCTTTTGCGCGTGGATCCCCGTCGGTGATTTCAGGCAGAGCACTGCCCAAAACCCGACTGTTTGAAAACAGTCGTGTCTGGAGCTCCCGCTTTGAGGTTTGGACTTGCACTCAGGGATGAGGGCTTCCGACGGAAGTGAGAAGCCGGCAGTGCAAATCACGGCAGAGAGAGCAGCTGCCAGCCAGCACAAGTACATGCTGCACTTCCACCCGACAGGGGCGGCTGCGTCGGAAGCTGAGGACGAGTTGGAAAGGAGAGATCCCCCCCCCTGCCTCCCCAACCCCTTCTGAAAACCTTGGGGGAAAGTGGAGGAATAACCTGAAAGGTGGGGCGCACTCGAGCCACGGTCCAATCACATGTCGAATGGCAAATTGATTGGAGCACATTGGCATTGGTTTGCAGCGCGTGTTGTCAGCCTTTTGGACAAGCTTTTGGAGATTGAGACCAGATTTTCGGGTCGCTCGAGGCTTGCTGTGGAGTTTCTGGGGGATTGGTAGCGAAAGTTTGCGTTTCAAACCACTTTGGATCGGACGGTTCCTTTGTTTAGTCCTGGCCCAAGGGTTGTGCATGCTCTGTCGAACTCACGGATGGCCCACTCCATTGGATGGACTTGATGTGAATGCAACACTATTTTGAGAATGTGTTTTCGTCTTCTGTTCTGCGGTGCAGGGTTACTTCGCTATGAGCAAGGAATTGCTTAGAACTTCTGGGTATTCGTGCTTAGGATTTGAACGGTTAGTTTAGGGAGTGTGATTCGGGGTTCAGGGTTCAGGGTTTACGGTCTAGGGTCTGTTATAGTGCAAAGCTTAAGTTTTACGGTCTAGCTTTTTTTCGGCACCCCAAGCTGGTACGCTCTAGTACATGCTCTTTTCTCGAGTTTTTTTGCAGGCAGGTCACTGGTCCGAAGGGCAGCAAATTAGCTATGACACACTTCTCAGAGATCCCCCAGGAGTTGATGTCCGTTCATGCAGGATGGAAATCCTAGCTTAGGAAGAGAGGCTAATGGCGGGCCAGCGCGTACAGGGGTTGAGGGTTTCGACTCACACACTCGCACCAGGCAGGCATGGCTTTGGACGGTCGGGGTTTGAGGCTTACGCTCTCACAACTCTGACAAGCCAGGCGAGGTTCCATATAGTCACAGGTCGGCGTGATACTCTGGGTTTAGGGTTTAGGAGTCCAAGGGGATTTAGGCTGTAGGGGTTTCGCTTCCAGGGTAGGCTTTGGGTCAAGAGTTCAAGGTGCAAGCTACAAGAAGCCAAAAGCTCCGCTGGCACGTCTTGGCATGCTGTCAATGTCAACCTTCTGTGCCCCACCTCCTTGCGAGTCCGCAGCATCTGACAGTTTGTTTGGTGGCCGAAGCACCGAGCGGCTTGCAGGCCTTCGGCTGACGAGAACACAGGTGAATCGAGTTTAACATGAGCTCCGCCACCATGCAACCAAGCTGCCAAGTGCGAGGACCTTTGTGGCAACAAGGAAAAGCGCTATAATAAGAAAAAACAAAACATCAAGCTTTGCACCAAGGAGCGAGGAAGCTTGTAATTTGCTGTATGGCCGTGATCGCGAAAGGTGCCGGCACCCCTGAGTCAGAGTGCGTGTGCAACGAATCAGCATGGAACTTGCCGCACAGCAAAATTGTGGTTGATGAACACTAACAAGTACACCAACACAACCACTGCTGCATTCCACTCTGGTTCCCACCTTGGAGGCCGCCGGGCAACTTGTAGTTGGAAAATACCTGACGGGGGAGGACGGGGGGTGGCCAAGCTCGCGCAGGCCCAGTTTGCACATGTGGCGGTCTGGAGTATGCACTCGCTGTGCAAATGCTAGACAATTTTGTTGTTTCATTGTTGCCATATAATGTTTCCGTTCCGTGTTGTGAGAGTGCTGAGTGCTGGGGTGCTTGCGAAGAAGCAACCCCGCCCCGATGGTGTCGGCTGACCGCGACACGCACCGACCCTCGACCCTGAGGGGCATTTGGTCCACGACAGTCCCACACCTTCCTGCATCCGTGCCAAACAGTTCCGGGTCCCTGCGCAACCTATACTCAGCCGCTGTTGAAAAAATTGGCACAGCCACGCCGACTGCACAGTCTTTCGCAGCAACCGCTGCGTTGAATAGCGAGCTTTTCAACTGTCCATGCACGGCTATCTCACCGCAGAGGAAGCTGGCTAGGTGTGGGGTGCCTGGCCAAACCAAGCACCGTGGCCAGCAGCTGGTCAGTCCGTGCAAGAAAAGTCGGCATCATCCACCAGCACGCTGTACGGCGCTTGAGCGCCGGCACGGCCACCCCTTCGTTTTGCACCGTTTATGCACCTTTCCTAACCAATGGGTTTTCAGTGAACAGCCGTCCCAGTGCAACTGCAGACTACCACTGTGCGGCGCGGACAAGCTATGACAAGCTGACCGACCAGTCGCAGCGATTCGACTTCAGCTGCAAGGACACGGAGTCGCCGCGGCCCACCTCGCACGATCAGAGTATCTCACGACCTCGAGGGCGCCACGTCCCGGTCAGCAGCGCTTCGGGTGGGCCCGCCATCCCGTCCAAGCCTTCTAAGAAGATGGACAGCCGCATCGCAATTGATTCGATTGCAACGCCGCTTCGGCCACCAAAGGCACACCCCACGCAGCTTCACTGCACACAGGCTGCAAACAGGCATGTCATAACCGCAGCTCGGCAGCACAGCGGCATTGCCCGTTGATTGGCAAAGCTGCTTTGCCGCTCGGGTCAGTAGCCGCATGACTGCACAGATCCAGAGGCCGCACCGCTGGCGACGCGCCGCTGCGCAGACACGCACAAGGTCCCGAAGCGGCTGCTGCGATGTTTCACCCTCCCCGACTTCGGGCCACCGGTCAATTTTGAGATTTTTTGAGTATGCGATGCACGTGCGCAACGGTGAGGAAGGCCCATGCGCGTTAGTGGCGAAACCAAGTCGCATGATGAATTCTGAATGACGAGATCCGCGCAGGTGCGATCATCAGTGGAAACGCCCGGTCGCAAGAGCATCGCGGCATCGCTTTCCACCCGGTCGCAAGAGCATGGCGGCATCGCTTTCCACAGCGGCAACAAAACCCGAGCTTACAGCGTCGCGGAAAGTCGCGAGCGAACGTCTGGCGAACCCACCGAGCGCAGCCTCGTCGTGCTGGGGGTGCAGATTTCATCGACAGCACCTGCGGGAGGAGCATCAGTTGTTGGACTAGCTCCCCCATGCTGCCTGACTTGTGCTGCTCGCCCATGTGCGCTTCCCCGCCAAACCATGTCTTGCGCACGGTGCCTCCGCAACTCACAACTGAAATGGCCCGCTCCTGGAGACGCTGCAGGCGTCCATCGCCCGGGAAGCCATCATTTGCAAGCGGGTGCTGAATCAAGTGACCAGCTTGCAGCCGGGATGCCACTCGGCTGTGCATCGGCTCGCACAGCCGGTGGGGCTCGGTGCGCGCGGAGGGCGACTAGGCGTTGGACCAGCTTCACTGCGTCAGCATTCCACCGGCCACCCACTTCGCATCCGAGCACGCAG